GCGAGGCATTCCAAGCAGAGGGAACAGGTTGTGCAGTGGCAAGGAAACCATTTTGGCTTCGAGTGTCTGAAGGAGAATAAGGAATTGGCTGTTGCCACCGACCAGCGTGCCCGTCAGGGATACACTAAAGTATGAGCGTAGGACCACACGTGTTGTATTTTGCATTTGTTAGCAAGCAGGGAGTGAAATATCCCTCTTGCTAAAGAAAACTTTTAACTCATCCTGTCTACTGCTGTAGTGGCAGATAAACTGATTTCAAAGAGAAAAATCCATCTTTAAATAAGAAGAGCACAGTAACCCCCCCTTTATCCAAGATTTCACTTTCTCAGTTACCAGAGGTCCAAAAGTATTAAATGAAAAATTCCGGAAGTAAACAATTCACAGGTTTTAAATTGCATGCCATTCTGAGTAGTGTGATGAAATCTCCTTTATTATAGTACACTGCGTGGTTATAATTATTCTATTTTATTATTATTGTTAATCTCTTACTATGCCTAATCTATAACTTCAACTTTATCATGGGTATGGATGTGTAGGGAAAACTGTAGTATATACAAGATTTGGTACTACCTAAGTTTTTGGACATCCACTTGGCGGGGAGTCTTGGAACACATCCCTCATGGGAGGAATGAGTCTGCTGTACTACATATAAATGAGTTTCTAGAAACTGTGTACTTGTATTTATTGGCAACTATTGTTGAAGTATATACATTTAAAATATGTCCATAGTAATTTTCTTTGAAAAAGCAAATGATTAAATAGGCTGCAAACAAATTGATACAAAGCCACTGGGTTAAAAACTAGACACTTCAGGAGTGTGGGCATGCAAAGACATGGCTTTATTTTATTTTTCGTCTTTTTGAGACAGGGTCTCGCTATGCAGGTCAGGCTGGCCTTGAGTTCACTTTGTAGCCCAGGCTGGCCTTGAACTTGCAACAATCCTTCTGCCTCAGCCTCCTGAGTGCTAGGATTACAGGCATATGTCACCACATGCAGAAAAGACATGGTTTTCTAAATGAAAGGTGTTTGCCCAGAGGAAGTTAGAGGGAGAGGAGATATTCATATCTCATATACTTGCACTATTTGACCCTAACACACTTTGTGAAGTGGGGATTCTTACACAAAAAAGTGAAGGATCAAATAAAGGTGTTTCTTGTAAAATTGGCTGTTTAATCTTGAGTTTTATTTTTCAGCCTCTGAAACTTATTTCTCCTCTGTGATATGGAGATATGACACATGATGCCTACCTCAGAGGGTTAAGAGGACTAAAAGAAATAATAAATAGAAATTTTGACATCATTCCTGACCTTTATCAAAGCATACATTCTCTTATTTTTTTTCCTGATGCTTGCATAGTTTTCAAAACTGGGTCTTTATAAAAGAGACTTTCTGAAGATTGTTTGTGGAGAAAGTCTTTTTTTCAGCACATCTGAAAGTACATTTGCCTCCTGGTGTTCATGGGGGTTTGGTTCTAGGACCACCCCACACACTTCGGATGTCAAAAGCCGTGGATGTTCAGGTCCCTCATATAAAATGGCATAGTATTTGCATATAACCTATACATAGCTTCACATGTACCTTTAAACAGTACTAGATTATTCATAATACATAATGTAAATGCTACGTAAATCATACCATATTGTTTAAGGAATAGTGGCAAGGAAAAAGTCTGTGCAGGTTCAGTACAAAGCAACTTTTTGCTACATACGTTTGATTCATGGTTGGTTGAATCTCTTGGTTCAACACTTGTGGATACAGAGGATCGACTGTATATTATTTCAAATAATTAAATTTTTTTTTTTTTTTTTTGGTCTTTTTGAGAAAGGGTTTCACTATACAGTTCAGGCCTGTCTTGAACTCACTTTGTATCCTAGGCTAGCCTCAAACTCACAGAGATCCTCCTGCCTCAGCTTCCCAAGTGCTGGGATTACAGGCATGTGCCACCATGCCCGGCCTAATAGTTTATTTATTTATTTATTTCCGGTACCGGGAATTGAACTCATGACCTTGCGCTTGCCAGGCAGGTGCTGTGCCGCTGAGCTAAACCCCCAGCCCCATAAATTGTATGTTTTTGTTTCGGTACCAAGAATCAAACTCAGGACCTTGTGCTTGCCAGGCAGGTGCTTGTGCTGCCGAGCTATATCCCCAGGCCCTTTATTTTTAAATACTTAAAAATGTTATCTCCACATGCATCTGTTTTTACTATAGAAATAAAGTATAACCTTTGGCCCTCATATCAAATCTGTGCATAGAATATCCTAGAGATCTGAGCTTTACTCCTTAAATAAAGATTCAGTTATTTCTTAAATAAAAATTCAGTTTTTCTCTTAGCGTTTTTAATGATTTTATTTGGAAATGTATCTCTCCTTTTCTGTATTTTTAAAGAAAATTTACCAAACAATGATGTTACATGCCAGGCACTGTCCTAAAGGTTAGGTAAATATTATCATTTCCACTTTCCAAAGGAGAAAGTCAAAGTGTAGAGATAGTAAGTGACTTGCCTAAGATCACACAGCTAAGTAGCAACTGGGTGGGATTTGAATTGAGATAATCTGGCTTTAGAATTTAAACACTGAAGGAATGCACTATCTTCCTATATGAGTCAGAGCTACCATTATGGATATCAATTTTTATTTGAAACCTATAGAAATACTGTGGTTTTGTATAGGATTGTGTCCCTATCATATAAAGATATCCCCCTCTATTATATTTTTAACTGACTGCTTTCTATATTTTTGTCCTCCCTCTTTGTTAGAAAAATTATTTCCCATGTATTTACCTCTACAAATCGCTTCCTTTTCTCTAATTATCATGCTTTAAATGTCTTAAGGATCAGAAACCAGATCACCCTATGTGTTAGAACTGTGTCTTAACTAGGAGTCATGAGGGTTTGAGAAAAGACCCAAGCCTTTAGTGAATGGAGTTTATGACACTTGTGTGACAGGGATCTTTATTTTTTTGGCACGTTTTATATTCTTAGCTGTGATCCAGATATTTTAGATAACTGGATAAGTGGCTTCTCAAAAAACAAGGCGTCACAAAATATAAATTCCATGCATTTCTACTCTCTCACCTGTCCAAAGGAGTTATCATCAGGATGAAAAGCATGGCCTAGTTCCTCAAGCTTTTGGGTGGCTGTATAGTGCTTGAAAGTAGAGAGATGTGGCTACAACTTGTATAAAAATAGCCCTTCCAGATGGCTGAGGGGCAAAGTTACAACTCAGCAGCTTGATATAGCTGAGCACTCACATTTTGGAGTAGGAGGAGAGCTGGGAGAGAAGTAGCCAGAGAAACTAGGCTAGAATCCAATCATAAGTGGAACAGTATATGCCAGGAGCGATCACTTAATGTGGCAGATTAGCTGTTAAGATTTCCTGTTACTTCATCTCCGTCTCTTCCCCACCTCTGTTGATTCAACCTTGTCTCTGGCCTCAAGGAAACACACACACACACACACACACACACACACACACACACACACCCCTGTATGTAAAGTGATACAGAGTTTTATAAAGTTCAGGCATTTTTTTATTGCCCATTAAACTGTAAATCATAGAGGATTTTGGAAATCACAGTGGGGCAGAAACAAGAAAACTCGAAGGCAGAAATGTGAAGCAACCATTCCGGGTGTCAGAGGGTCTCACACACAGCTTCCCCCACAGGGCTCCACTTCCTGCTCCTCTGTGGGAGGGTGTGTGCTGTCACACCAGGCCACAGTTCCTCCAGCCCTGCCTGACTCACCTCAAACTCAAAGCGAGGCCTCTACTTAAAAAAACAAAAAAGGCATGGAATGTTGCAGAAGTCATGATATTGTTTCCACCCCTCCAAACGAATACGAAAGCTCTGAGAGATGAGGGCATGAAACAGCTTGTTCATAAATGAAACTATTTACTGGTCAAATGCTTATGTGGATTAAAATGCATAGCTCTCTTATTTTTCTACCTCCTAATTGACCTGCATTTCTATTGGATGTTCTGGAATTCTGAAAGAAAACAGAAGTATCTGTCGTAAATCCATAGTTTTAAATCTCTCAATGTCCAAATAATTGCATGTTGGTTTTAAAAATATGTTAATTAGAATGGATTAGTGCTTATATTTGGCAGTCGTAATAGATGCTGTCATTTTCGAATAATTAAACAAGCTAGTTGAGAAACACCATTTATTAGCCCAAAGTCAAGGCATTGCTGTTCTCCAGTGGCAGTACAGCCTCACTGCAAGCAGCCTGCTTAGAGGCAGGAAGGGTTTTTACTGCCATCCAAATTCCAAATTCAGTTCTGTAACCAGTTCTTTAAAAATACTCCCATTAGGCTGGTGTGGCGGCGCACGCCTGTAATCCCAGCATTTGGAAAGCTGAGGCAGGGGGATCGTTGTGAGTTCCAGGCCAGCCTGGGCTACAGACTGAGCTCAAGGCCAGCCTGAACTGCATAGTGAGACCTTGTCTCAAAAAGACAATAAATAAATAAATAAAAATATTCCCATTAAACTTGCATATTCTTGCATGAAAGATTTACAGGTGCCAAAACACCAACAAAAAGCTAATCCCTAACCTACTTTTTCCAACACAGTGAATATTTCAATATTGTTGGAACGTATGATGTTCCTTTTGAGAGCAAGCTCCTTTTCCTCCTGTGGAACTTTCCTACCTGTGCTAGGTGCGGTGCATTGCCCTGGGAGCTGGTAAGGAGGTCTCAAGCCTGGTGTCCCTGCTGGTACAGCTCCATGCTCTCCTACTACACTGCTGTGTAGCTAATGGAAAGTAGTCACCGCAGGAGGAATGGAGTGAGAATAGGGACAAGCACTCTTTGACTGCCTCCCAAATACCTGGTTCCGTACTACCTTGTTAAAGCTGGCAGGAGCACTCCTGTTAAATAAATAAGCTAATTCTAATCCAAGTACTCTACATCCCCCTTGCCCTGCAGCACAAAGATCCAAGTGGACTGACCTGCAGCAGAGGTCCACTACCACACAGCTATTGCCCAAATTAAGAATCCAAGTGAGGGCACGATTTCCAATGCCTTTATTAAGAAATATCAAAAGTTGATTACAGACCCGTACACAGTTTTACAAAGTTCAAGTGAAGGGAATGTTGGGAGGCCATCGATATGCACATTTGAACACTAGGGTAGTTTGCCAAAGAGGTGGCCCGAGGACTCCTGTCACTTTGCTTTCCAGGGGTCCACAGCAATGCTTTCGCCCCCTTTCCACTGCAGCATAGCACAAACCCTTAAGTTACTTGAAAGAGTATTTGCATATTACAAATACTTTTCACATTTTTGTCCTTTTGTCATCCTTATTCCCTGAAAAGCTGAGCTGTTCGTAGGACGCACAGCACTTGAGTCCTGTTCCCTGCAGCTTGGATTATATTTTCACAAAGTTTGCTTTGAAAGCTGGCCAACACTGCACGTTACGCATCACCATACCACACATGGGAGGACCCAAACACATTGTTATTTTTTAAAATGTAACAATGAACAAAAAGGTGTGGGTGTGGGTTACCCATCTTGGAAATAACTCACCGCAGTCACTTAGTGGAACCCTCAAGGACGGGACAAGCCTGTCGGTTCCCCTGAGCTCCAGTCACAAGCGGTCGACAAGATGAGTGAGCACTGTTGGGTGCAGGAACACCAGCACAGAAAACAAGAAAGAGCACTGTGGGGGGCAGTACTTCACAATCTCTTATGTCAGGGGTTCTGTATCAGAGGGGAATTACACTTTGGAAATAATTAGGAGTAGTAGGTCATTAATTCCAGAGGAAAAACAGCCACGGTGTGGTGTGCCTTGGTTAAGGCTTGTGCTGGTTTATCTAAAAGTAGGTTTCTGGAGAGCTTGTCCAGCAACATCAGAGAGAGCTGTCTTCAGAGGAAGGACTCCTTGTTCACCCACATGAGACTGCGTGTCTCGTTGGGCTTGCATTCGTACTCAATGACAGAGAAGGGGCTTCCCCACTGGCAGTGGTCTCGCTTGTGGTAATTGTAGAACTTGACTTGCCACACCGTCTCGAAGGTCCCAATGTCCGTGAACTGAGGGAAGAGAAAGTTGCCCAGTGAAAACCTCAGTGGATGAGAGTGAAAGCCAGTGACAAGTGTGCTTGATAAGCATGCATAACCAGGCAACTCTCTAGGTCTGCAAAGCCTTGTCTGTTCCTTTCATGACCTACCTGCCTTCATTACTGGAAATATTTTCCTGAAAAGCTGCCTGGCATTTGCTGTCACATTGCTTTTTAATGAAGATGAACCCCAAGTTTATCTTGTTTTTCAAGTTTCACTTTTTGAAAATCACTGTAAGAATTTCAGTTTTAGACTTTGCTCCAAAACTGTCCCTACCCTAAAAGAGGTCCTGGGAGAGAAGAGAGAGAATGATGTTTACTGCTATCTTCTGCTTTCTGCTTCAGAAGAGAGTGGTACAAGATAACATCTGTATAATACATCTAAGCATAAGATATAATGGTCCTTCTACCATTCTGGGGAAAGATAACTGACATGAGGGGACAGTCACAAGTACTTTGGAAGTATTGGATACATGAGGACCTCACTTTATAAAAAAAATGGAGTGTTTTTAAGTCAGGAGTCCATGCTCATTTCTCAGGCTTAGATAATATATTACCTTATATCATATTTGCGTACCTAGTATGTAGCTTGCACATATAAAGTTTTGTATGAAGCATGGTTCTTGCCCCTAAGACGTTTGCATTCTACTTCTGGAAGTTAGGCTGGGCAAATCACTGTGCAGAACTCTCCCAAGGCACAAGGATACATTACTCTTGTAGCTGAGAAGAGGTCATAGTATACCCTAGAGGCCAGTGGGCAGATGCTCAAGTGGCCTGTGGGGTTGCCTGACCCTGCTACCACCTTCTGGAGCTATTTAGGGGATCTGGCATTAAACAGCGTGATGACTGTTGTTATTTTCTTCCATGACCCTCCTGTCATGGGAGGGGACAGGGACTGACTTGGCAGGATTCTTAGACTCATCTGGAGCCAGGAGACATGGAGAGAAGAAGGGCAGTGAGCAACAGGAGCCTTCTGCTTTGCACCTGATACAGGAGGAGGGTGATCAGGTGCTTCCCAGATAGCTTTCCAAGATGCTCTCAAAATTATATCCTGCACCATTGCCTCATACTGCTAATTTGGTCCCAAAACAAGATCTGGGATTTCCTTTGGAAAATTTGCTTGATGTGAAACAGTAGTAGCTAGATTCCGCCAACCTCCAAGGTATGAAAATAAAGTATCTCTTTTTAGAGTCATGGCTTAAAGACCTATGCATACAAACATAGCAGCTTTTTTCATAATAGCCACAGATTGACGTTAACTCAAATGTTTATTTATTTGGTGCTAGGCAAGTTTTAGAATATTTATAAAATGGCATTTTACTTAACAATAAAAAAAACCATGCTGACTCAGGCAACAACAGGGATGCATCTCAAAGGCATACAGAGCAAGAATCTAGACCCCAAAGAAGACATGGTCCATAACTCTGTTTATGTAAATTGCTGTATAATTACAGAATATGATCCAGACTCACCAGACACCCATGGTTACCTAGGGCCTGGGATGGAAGGGCGGATGCAGTTGTGCAAGAGGGAACCCTTGGGGGTTATGGAAGCATTCAATAAGCAGGTCAAGGTGATGGCTACATGGACGCATATCGGTTGTCACTCACTGAACTGTGTACTTCACTTGCATACATTTATTACATGTAAGCTATGCAGCAAAATCGATTAAGCAAAACAGAAATATCTATTTTGGGATACAGATGTTCTAAACATCGCCAATTGGAATTGAACTGTACAGCCTTTGAAAGCGTAGTTTTTGTCCAGTTAAAGGTATGAGTTTATGAGGGTCTAGCAATTCCACCCCTTGTAATTTATCTCAAGAACATCATAAAGTAATATGAAGTATCACCGTTTTTTTGTTTTTTGTTTTTTTTTTTCCAGTACCGGGAATCAAAACTCACGACCTTGCGCTTGCCAGGCAGGTGCTGTGCCGCTGAGCTAAATCCCTAGCCCCTTGAAGTATCATCTTTAAAGAGGACATCATAAAGTTTAAAGTAAGGAAAAACTGAGCTCTGAACATCTATTTTTAAAGCATTAATTAAGGCATGTTCACATAATGAATACTATGTAGCAAAATAAAGATTTTTCTATTATTTTATATTGTCATATGAACTAAGCCGAGAACCGTCATGAATGTGTAGTATTATCCAACTTAAATAATATCTGTTAACACTGGAAACCGATGGGATATTTTGTTTTCTTCTATGTGCTATCTGCATTTTCAAAATTTAATGATTAATTTTTATATCAGAAATGAATTAAGCCAAAATTGCATTTACATGTTTTACCAAGTAGTTACTATCCTTAACATAAAAGGTTATAATAATTAATAAGAAGTGCTGGAATATTTAGATAAAAGACTAGAACACTGATCCTTAAAAATGGCTAGCATCTGAGAAACAATCAAATGTAATGTTATTAATAATTACAGAAATATAACTTTGATGCAGAGATACTATTCAATCATCAATTTAGTGAAAAAATTTTTAATTTCTTGCCTAAAGTAACCTAAGCATGCAATATTGAAAAATTATCTTGAAAATAGTGGCATATCTGTATGATGGACTTAAATGGCCATTTAAAAGTAATGTTGTTGATGTGAGAAAATTCCTAGAACAATATAAACAGGAAAGAGACTCGAACAACTCATTTATAGCATGATGAGCATACTATAAATGGTGAATGTTTAAATTTATTTATTTATTTTTTATTTTTTTTCCAGTACCAGGGATCGAACTCATGACCTTGAGCTTCCCAGGCAGGCGCTGTGCTGCTGAGCAAGGTCCCCAGCCCCCAATGTTTAAATTTAAAGAAATTATTACAGTAAAAGATCCATTGCCATTAATCACCCTCAAAATATTCCCACTGCAAACACACTCATCCTATCACTATTGCCACTTTCTGAAGTAGTTCTGGAAGTCCTCTTAGTGAGTATCTTTACAAGGTGTGGTATAAAATATGATGCGTGTTGCCACGGTGTACCACCCAAGGGAAAGGCAGGTCTCATCCACCTTATGCAGCAGATCTGGGACTGTATGACTTGTGGTTCTCCTCAAAGTCCAAATGACCATGAAATATAAATGTTTTGAATCAATTCAGGACATTAAGGTAGCCATGACAGCTAACACAATGATAGTTTTGTTCACAATAATGTAGTGGTAGTATGAATAAATAAAATCTTATTTTACAATTCACTGAAACTTTGAAAGATTTAGTATTACCTCTAAACCAGCACAAGAAACCGCGAAATTTAGCAACTGAATTTTAAAATTCAATTAAAATTTCAATTGAAGAGTATTTTATTATAAGCATATCCTTCAAATGCCAATTAATCTTTTGAGAGAAACAGCAACCCAAAACCATACTAGGTAAGAAACAACGTTGAGATCTTTTTTGAAATAAATAGAAGTTGGCCATTAAAAAATCTAAGATGATTATGACCACAGGTAAGAAACAAACTTAAGGTTCTACATTTATGTCTGTAAACAGTTAAAACTGTGAAAGTCTCAATCTAACCATTCTCAGTAGCACAGGAGACCAAAATAGAACCATGCCTATGACAAAAGTCATAGCTACAGATATGAGACATTTAGGTGCCCGTATGTCAGTTCAATTTTCTCTTTGGTTAATGTTATTTAGTTAATGCTATTCTCTTTAGTTCCATGGTTACAAGGAACTTAATTGCTGCTCACCATGTATATATTCTTTCTCTCTCCCATACCTTAGATGTTTACAGTTCCCATTAACCTTCTTTCCATTTAAGTTCTACTTCCCAGTTCTCCTACGCTTAGAGCTCAGAATTTCTTCTCATCTGGCTAAGAACAGACAGGATCCCCAAAGGTGACATTCTTTTTAAGGAAGGGAAGCATCTTTGCAGTCTCTTTTCTCCTTGCCAGCCTTGGTCCTTCCAAGGAAAATTTACCCAGGCAGGTTCCCGGGCTATGCGATTTATACTTGAGTAGAAGTCTGTGCATTTGTACAGGAAGTCTACATGATACATTCACATATATCACCCCACCTTGATTTTTGCTACTTCCATTTTATGGACAAAAAACTAAAATTTAGAGGTGAAAACATTTTGCCTGAGGTCTAGTCTTCATAGCTAACTCCTTATAGGATGAGGACAAGAATCTATGTCACCTAATTCCTAGCTAGAAGCCATTATCACTGTACCAAACTGTTTGTACAAGCAAAATGGCCAAGAGTGAGTGAACAGTTTTTCTTTTGTCTCCCTGAAAACTTACATGAGTTACCACATGTAGAATTCTTTTAGGATTTGCTATGCAATGAATAGTTATGTGTTCTCCCACCCCTCACAGCTCACTCGTGGAAGCCTAAATTTCTAGGGTGGTCGCATTTGGAGGTAAGGCCTTTGGGAGGTATTTAAGTGATGAGGGCAGAGCCCTTATAAATGGGATTAGTGCTGTTGAAAGATAATCAGACATGGGATAATCTGTCTTTATTCTCTGCCATGTGAGAATAGAGCAACAAAACAGCTGTCTATGAACTAAGAAGAGGGTCTACACTAGAAACACCCTCTTGATCTGCGAGTGCACTGACTTTTGTGGACTTCTCAGCCCCTATGGCTGTGAGAAATAAATGTTTAAGCCACTTGAGAGTATTATGTTATAGCAGGCTGAGCTGAGACCTGTGCGTCCTGGGCATTGTACTTGCCATGGTGTTTGATAAGTTGCAAGTCTAGGCATATTTTTATTTTACAGTGAATGTGGAAGAGAATGCATCCCATTTCTGAGGAGACTTGTTGCCTTCAAAGAGCTTATTTTAAATAATTTCCACAGTCTTACAAGCATTTGCCATAGAACCCCTACAGTACTTTCTTTCCCTGGTACTGGGGATTGAACCCGGAGCCTCGCACATGCTAGGCAAGAGCTCTCCCACGGAGGTATACCTCTAATGCCAAAATCTGATAAAGACAACACAAAGAAAGGAAAATAAAGACCAAAAAAATCC